GCATACGCGTTTTAAAAACCTTAAAGGGAAGCTCGAAAGAGAAAGCGTAAAGAGGACAATATTATAAGGGTATGGAAACATCTCCCTAGCATATGCGTTTTAAAAACGTTGAAGGGAAGCCCGAAAGAGAAAGTCTAAAGAGGACAATATCTACTAGCGGTGGGCTTAGGCTCTTACAGAAGTTGAACCAAATGAATCCAATAAATTCATGAATCGAAGTGGGAAATATACCAAAAGTATTCATGAATCCAAGAGATTCATAAACCAAATCTTCACGACAATTCTCAACCTTTTCAAAGCTCCCAAACGTCGAGCTCATTAAATTTGATCATTTTATAACTCTTCAACTTTATGGGATTTGTAGGCATATCAAAAGGGTGTGATTGGTATCACACTAGTGACAGTTTGGTATACTCCAAACTCAAATAGTGAGGCCGACAAAAAGGCTGCAATTCGAGCTCTTGATTTTGCTCTTGGCTGGTAAGCAAAGGTTATATGAAACATTATTACAAAAATGAAAAACCCTAAGTTTTTAATATATATGTAACCGTTTAATATCATATTATAAACTATACTATATATAAATATTTATGGCAGGTACTTGCATCCAATAACCTATGGCGATTATCCACCTATCATGAGGGAACTCGTGAAGGAGAGATTACCCAAATTTTCAGCTGCAGAAAGTGCTTCAATCAAAGGGTCACTTGATTTCCTTGGACTAAATTACTACACAGCTAACTATGCCAAAGACAACCCCAATGCACCAGGACCACAACCAAGCTACTTGACCGATTATCGTGCAGATCTCTCGAGTATGTATCACTTTTTCGATAAGCAAATTTGGGAGTTCATCACGATTCGTTTTATCATCTGGGTTCGCTTAAGAGCCTACTATTTAGGTTTTTTTTATGTTCAAGACTTTTGATTTAACATTTGTAATGTTTTTGAACGGTAGCTGATCGTAACGGAGTCTCAATTGGTCCAAAGGTAACTTACGTGCAAATCTATTCAGTGATTGAATTGTACATGTCGTGATTATCTAATAATTTTCTTTGATTGTATTATATATAGTTTAGTGAGGTATCTTGGCTCGCTGTCTATCCACAAGGACTCAAAGAACTACTGATCTACACGAAGACCAAGTACAACGATCCATTTATCTATATCACCGAGAATGGTAAGAAAACAAAACTTACGTTTAGCAAACGTACATTACTAATGAAAATCATCTGTTGTAGGGTATCTCGAAATCGAAGGTCCCACATTTGAGGAATTGATCAACGACAAGGCTAGAGTCAAATACCATCACGATCATCTTTACAATCTTAACGAAGCAATCAAGTATGAAAGAAGGATATGTGTCGATGTTTTAGATTCGTTAAATATATTAAAGATTTTTGTCTTACGACGTTTTTGGAAACCATTGTAGGTCTGGCGTGAAGGTAAAAGGATACTTTGCATGGTCATTTTTGGACAACTTTGAATGGTCGAGTGGATACGCAGTTCGGTTTGGCCTTAACTACATTGATTACAAGAACAATTTGAAGAGAATTCCAAAGCTCTCAGCCAAATGGTTCGAAAATTTCCTCAAAACTTGAAGATGATCCATTTCAAACAATAATGTTGCCCCTCTTATTTTATGAATTTTCATGTCTTTTGTTAATTATGGGATATGCTAGTGAACTAGCTAAGAAATGTGTCATAAAAATGAGGTCATTTTCTTATGTATGGGTGATGTCTATTTTCTGATGATCAATAAAATAAAAGGCTGTTTTTATGAATAGCCCATTGTTAGAGATAAAGAATCGTCTGTCTCCTTCTCTCAATCGATGTGGGATCTCACAATCCTCCTCGGCCCAACTTCTTCTTTGTTCTCCTCCCCAACCGATGTGTGATCTTATAATCCACTCCCCTTCGGGGCTTAACGTCCTCGCTGACACTCGCTCCCTTCTCTAATCGATGTCAGACCCCCTAATCTACCCTCCTTTGAAGCCCAGCATCCTTGTTAGCACATCGCCTCGTGTCCACCCCTCTTTGGGGCTCAGCCTCCTTACTGGCACATCTTCTCGTATTTGGCTTTGATACCATTTGTAATGGCTCAAACTCACTACTAGCAGATATTGTCCTCTTTGAACTTTCCCATTCAGGCATCTCCTCAACGTTTTTAAAACACGTATGCTAGAGAGAACTTTTTACACCCTTATAAAGAATTGAACTTTGTATAATGATCTTTAAAAATAAATTAAGTTCGAAATTATCTAAAAGATAAAAAATAGACTTTTATTTGGGATCCCAAGGTCTAGTGTTCATATCAAAACAAAAAAATTACCTAGTTGGTAGGGTGTTCATATGACTTGATAACTTAACAAATATGGACTATCTAACTCAAACCATAAAGGTTGGATCGGGTTAGATTGTTTCGATTTTACATGCATAAATTTTTTTAAAACCTAAAATTTGATTAGGTGTGCAGTCTAACATTTTTTTTTATCTGGTTAACCCTATTAACCCAAAAATAGAGCTACAACCCAACCCAACACAACTCTACCCAACTTTTAAAAAGATTAACAATATTGAGTGTTTGTAATCAACATTAACAATGAGTCGTGACTCATAAATGTTTGATATTTGAATTTTTATGAGATTTTAGTTATTAATATAACATGTATGATAGATAAGTATGATTCTTTTAAATAATTTAAAAAAAAAAAAAAACAACCCAACTCGAAAATGGAGGATTGGGCTAGGCTCACTCATCGAGCAGCCACCACCTTACTTTTTCCACCCAATCGACGTCTCCGTCTCAAATGTCAACTCTCTCTCACATTCTCTCTCGGTGGTCTCCTTTGTACATTCACTTAACGTCTTCTCATGCAGTCTCATATCTCTCTATTGCCAACGTAGGGAATCGTCGAGCCGATTGCCACTGTCGTTCCATCCTTTGCCCGATCGTTGTTCATCATATCGCCCCGAAGATGCTACCGATCAGAGCCTCTCCACCAGTTGTCGTACACTATCGAGGAATGTCAAGCTGCACCGAGCTTCCTTAAATGAAGGGGCTGGTTTCAGTACGATCCAGGTTTGTTCCTCCAATTCATGTCCAGTTCTATCAATTTTTTCTTCAGTTCAGGTTCCCTTGGTATAATATTCAAATTTGAATTAATTTGGAGAATTTATTTTTAACATGATAAAAAGAAAGAAAGGAAATTGGAAAAGGGAAATGTAAGGAGGGGTATTGCTGTAATTAAATATTTATGTAACGACCCTACTTTTACTATTGGAATAAAGTCAATACTACATGCTTGACTTAATTATGAAAGACGGAACAATCTTTTAGAACGTTTCAAAATGATGACGTGGACTTAAACGTTCATAATGGTCATCACTGCGAAATCATTCATGCAGACTTACCTTTACCTGAAAAATAAGAGTAGTACGTGATTTGAGTATTTTAAAAAATGCAATTACATGCAGTTATGTTTTAGATTCATCCTTTGGATAAAACATCATGACATAGTCTTGGTCTCTACTTCTAGCCCGTGCATAATTGAATGTGTAGTACTTCTCCACACGTGGCCCATGTATGTGCAAATAGACCACACGCGAGCTCATATACGTACCTCTAGAGCTGACATTCAACTAAATTGCACTCACACTTGTGTAATTCCATGGAGGGAAGGGAGTGCATAGTTAGTCTACATAATACCATAACATAACATCATAGTGTAAGTGTCCATACTATTCATAACGATATACAATATGCATCAGGTCTCCATAGTTTAAAATCATGACATGTAACTATAATGCAAGTTATATCATAGTTGTTCATTTTATACGTAACTTAATCATTTCATGTCATCTCATAATGTAGCATATAACATAGTATAACACTTTTCATAACACAGCTCAATTTCATATGACACAATGTGTCAACATAATATTCCATAAATTGTGTCCATAGATATAATCATTATAAGCAAATTGATCATTCACAAATTGTCCGTAATTATAGTTGGGGCAAAAAATCCAACCTCTTATTTCTTAGGTACTATAACGAACAATTTGTTTAGAATCTAACCGTGAACTAAGTGCCTCTTAGACCAAAGAGAGAATGGATCCTACCGTCAAGTCTCGAAATCAACAATTAAGGGAATCATTCTTCTACTTGACAAACGGTCAGAAGCAGGGGGTTCTAAAGTTTGATAGATTCAATCTTATGCCCTATACAATACATCTTTTAGGTTATTAGAACGACAATTTTAAATATGTTTTCAACAATTTTTCATCGCAGCTATTTTTTTCTAGCTGTTCCTCACCACTTCCCATATGGGGAGGGATTGAACCATCAATTTTTAAAATGATAATTAGTGTTTTAACTATCGAGCTATATGCAAATTAAAAAATCTTTAACCAATCTATTGAATTAGGTTTTAGATCACAGTGGAGTCTTTCGGACTTTCTATTAGATTACCATTTTAGGAGCGACAAACTTACTTTTTAGTATGACGAATTTTATAATTTTGATTTTGAACATGATAAAGGTTACTCTAACCCTTTCAAAATGACAAGCAAACATGTCATTAGTCCATTAGATATCTATCTAATTTAACCAGCCAATTGGTGGCCTTCCAAATCTTTCAACAAAAAGAAGCTATTCTTCATATTTCAAAAAGATTCTTGTCTTTAAAGTAGGCATTGAAGAAACAACGAGATGCCAAAAGGAGTTCCTTCAATAAATTAACATTTTTACTTTTAGATTTTGTGAATCATTTAATTTATTATTTTTTGCATTACGTCAATATCATGTATGCAACATAGATTGTATATTGTTCGTTTTAGCTCGTTATGTATCATTGTCTGTCTCACAGTTTTAAAATGCGTCTACTATGAAAAGAATCTAGCCTTACTTCAACCAATGTCTCGCACCATCCGGTGCCTGGCTCTAACACTATTTGACAAGGGGCGATATGCCAACGAGAAGGCCTCCAAAGGGGTGAATTGTGAGATCTCACACTGGTTGGAGAAGAGAACAAAACATTTATTCACAAGGGTGTGGAAACTTCTCCCTAGTAGACAAGTGTGAATATTAGGGATGTGAAAATCAATTCATAGCAAACGCATTTTAAAAGCTTGAGGAGAAGCACAAAAGGAAAAACCCAATTAAAAAAAAAAAAAGGAAGTTTACAGACCAAAATATAAAATAATCATGAAGTTTTAAGAATGAACATAGAACAATCGAAAAAAGAACGCCAATTCAAACTTTTTATATCACACGTCATCACCTCACCGAAAACCGCGTGACACGCTTAATGCACTTTTGTTTTAAAAAAAAAAAAAAAACAATGAGCTCACAATCTACTTTTACACTGTGAAGACATAAAAAAAAATGTTTATATTCTCAGACATAATAACATCTCAAAAAGAAAAAAGTAAGGCAAACCACATCTTTTCAGCATCCAACACACTCACTTTATTCAACAAACTCATCAATGCTTCAGTTCTTCAACCCATTCTTTGCAAACAATTAAAGCTTTCTCCTTAAAAAGTGATAGCAAAAACAAGAAATGAAGATATCATTGTAAAGAATGCTGATCCATTTCATTCTTAGTTAGAACATTCTGTTGTAATGTTAAGAACATATGGTGAAGAGAGAAAGAATAATAAAACAAGCACAGTGGATCATACTGAATTCAACAGTTCTTTAGAGATAACAATACGCAGCAAATATGGTAATCTATCACGACATCTCTATGCCTCATTCACTAAGGTTGTTTTACCTGCAGTTCACGCCCGCTTCAGCAGCTCGATGGGGCTTGCTTTTTCGCCTGCTTCCGTTGTGACGAAATCCATTTGATCTTGTTGATTCATCGGTGCTCGACCGTGTTCCGTCCCCATTTTCATCTTTGACTGGATCGAGCTTTTCTTTCACTTGTGAGCTTCTTCTCCTTCTTTTCCCATTCTCTGCTGCAGGTGGGCTTTTCATCTCCTTGCTCACAATGTCACAGCCTTTCACGTTCTCGCTGTCGTCGTCTTCTATCTTTTCGGTTTCCTCCTCGTCAATCTCGTCCTTCAATGGCTTCTGTGGCCTTCCCCTTCGCTTTTGTGCAGGGATCTTCTCTTCCTCACCGCTTCCAGCATCATCGTGATTCGTCACGGTAAACTTCCTCCCCTTTCCCCGACCTCTACCCATCCTCTTTAAGCACTCCAAGAAAGAAAAATCATGCAACAGATTGCAACTGCCAGACACAAAACAAGCAATTACATAGGAAACAATTCCAATTCGCTTGCGATAAGAAACTCGTGAAGTAAATAAACACGGCAAGCTCGAATATCGTAACCAGCTGATGGTTATACATCAAGCATGACACATCTTGTAACAGCCCAAGCCCACCACTAGCAGATACTGTCCTCTTTGGGCTTTCCCTCAAGGTGTTTAAAACGCGTCTGCTAGGGAGAGGTTTCCACCCTTATAGAGAATGTTTCGTTCTCCTCCCCAACCAATGCGGGATCTCACAATCCAACCCCCTACGGAGCTCAGCGTCCTCGCTGGCACTCGTTCCCATCTCCAATCGATGTGGGACCCCCCAATCTACCCCCTTTGAGGCTCAGCGTCCTTGCTAACACACTGCCTCGTGTCCACCCCCTTTCAGAGCTCAACCTCCTCGCTAGCACATCGCCCGAGGTCTAGCTTTGATACCATTTGCAACGGCCAAAGCCTACCACTAGCAGATATTGTCCTCTTTACGCTTTCCCTTTTGGGCTTCCCTAAAAGTTTTCAAAACATGTCTGCTAGGGAGAGGTTTCCACACTCTTACAAAGAATGCTTAGTTCTCTCCTCTCCAACCGATGTAGGGTCTCACACATCTAATGCAATTACAATACTTCCTCAAACTAATCAGCACGGAAACCTAACCAGTAGAATACAGACCCTTGAATTCTTTAGGGATGAAATGAAAGAATCAAATATATACTAACCTATGAACTTAAGATTTGTTCAAACTAGTACAGATTCTAAGTTCAAATCCCTATAATATCACTTCCTCCCAATTGATAGCTAAAGTTCACATGTAATTGAATCTAAAGCAAAGCCGAAGTTCCTATAATATGCTGTTCTTGCTTGCAAAGTTTCTCAAACCTAAGTTGACTTCCCCTGATTAGGTAAGGATTAAACAGAGCCAGAAAGATGAACAAATCTCAATCGCAGATAACCAAATTCGAAGCAACAAGAATCTCAAAACCACAAACAAATATTAGAATCGAGAGTAAAAGCTACCAAGAAACTCGAAAATCCCCGAACAGCAGAGACAAACAAGATCCACCAAAGAGAAACAGAATCGGATTGGTAGAAGACAAGATTAGAACAATAGAAACAGTTAATCGACAGATTAATTCAATTTTATACGCAACAAAAGCAGAAAAGAACAAAAGCAACAAATGAAAGAAGAACAAGAAACAGACAAATTCAAAAAAGAAAAAAAAAACCTGATAAGAAACGAAGGCCATACGAATCACTGAAACGGACCCATTACAGTGAATCTGTTGAAGAACGAAAAGAAGTTCACAAGAACAGAGAAAATTCCATGTGGGTGTTCATGGATTGAGGATTAGAGCGAAAAGAAGGGGAAATTACAGAGGCATAAGGAATGATCTGAAGAGGGGATTTGAAAGAAGATTGAAAGTGAAGAATGAAACGAAGATTTAAGAAGGATTGGGATATGGGAAACAGTGGTGAAGGTCACTTGAAGACCTGCCCATATGAATCACAGAGAGAAGAGGCGTAAACCAAAGAGATATTTGTTGAATGCCAAGATTTGGAGCAAAAGTCCAATGTATTCCGAGGCTTCAAATTGCAAGGTCACTTTGGTAATTTGGAGTTTATTCCAAATAATTCTATTTTTCTCATTTATTTTTTATAGAAAAAAAAATTAATGCTTCATTTCAATCCCATCTTAAAAAATAATAATTAAAAATATTTTTACCCGTTTTAAAAAAATTAAAAGTTATTGTCATTAATATATTTTTACCTGTTTATGCCCTAAATAGAAGTGTTTATACTACACCACCTATTCGCGTAGTCATGATCTTTTCCAAGACCGGTTTGTGAAGTTGTAACGTCGACCTTGACTCGTTTCTGCACTCAATAGGGACTCTCATCTTGACACCTATTTGTGTAGTCCCTAGTTGTAACGGCCCAGATCCACCGCTAGCAGAAATTGTCCTTCTTGAGCTTTCCCTCTCGGCACTTGATAGGGACTCTCATCTTGACAGGTTTCCACGTCCTTATAAATAGTGTTTTGTTCTCCTCCCAACCAATGTGGGACATCACAATCCACCCATTTGGGGCCAACGTCCTTACTCGCACACCACCTTGTAATGTGGGACATCACAATCTACCCCCTTCGGGGCCCAGCGTCCTCGCTGGCACTCTTTCCTTCCTCCAATTGATGTGGAATCGCCCCCAAATCCACCCCTTTTGGGGCTATCGTCCCTGCTGACACTCTTTCCTTCCTCCAATCGATGTGGGACCGCCACCAAACCTACCCCTTTGGGGCCCAGCATCCTTACTGGCACACCGCCTCGTGTCTACCCCCCTTCGAGAAAGAGCGAGAAGGCTGGCACATCGTCCGATGTCTAGCTCTGATACCCTTTTTAACTACCCAGATCCACCGCTAGCAGATATTGTCCTCTTTAGGCTCTCTTTCGGGCTTCCCCTCAAGGCTTTAAAACGCGTCTGCTAGGGGAAGGTTTCCACACCCTTATAAATGGTGGTTTGTTCTCCTCCCCAACCAATGTGGGACATCACACTAGTCCAACGAGAATTGATTTACAAGTTCACCTGTTTCTACACTTAATATAGATCCATGTCTTGAGCTAACGGTAGTCTATAGTTCTTCTCCAGAATTGGTTTAATACTTTCTTGGTTCTCTTCTAAACTACCGTATTTCTCGTTATGTCAATCAAACGGGACCCAAAACTTCAAGTAAAAAATATAAAATATCACAAAATCTAACAACTAACGTTCAATCCGAGTAAAATATTTTAAGTCCTGATAGATCCATTGATCGCTTACTTATTCAACGTTCTTCTTGTTATAGTCTATAAATCTCGAACCACCAAAGGATCTATATGAAATTAAATGTTTAAAAAATATTGTACTTGGGTAGTTGAGCCAGAATTTGAGTCATAATTGTGATAACAACCCATGAAAAAGAAAAGAAAGAAAACATGTGAGTTTCTAAATTTGTAGTGGATTTTTGTGGAATTTTCCGCTTCATTATTATTTCACGATAATTTTAAAGAATTTGACTATTTAAACGTTGAAATTTCTTATATTTATCTTTGCGAATGCTCGGAAATTAGAGATGTTCTTTTATTCAAAACTACTATAGGCGTGGTAAGCTTTCTTAGCCCCTTCTTAAGTATCGTGGACGTTAATTAGGTTCTTAAGGCATCTAGGCAGTTCTCTTACTGCCTCTCACAATCTTAGGGTGATCGGTTTACTGGAAGCATCTTGACTTTGGCCATCGTAAAACTGTCTTAGTGTACCAAAATTCATTTAGGCATGCTCGAACCATTCTTGAACTCATATAAGAGTTCCTAGAGTAGCAGAATTCAATTTATTATAACATACCGTTCTAAAATCTCTTTTCAAGGGCATTTCAGTCATTTGTAGATAGTTTATGTTCATGTTCGCATGCTAGTATATCCTAGCAATCCCTTAAAGTACTACTCAAAAGGAATCCAAATGGTTACTTATTTGATCGTGTGTGCCTTCTTCGATCTTGTTTCTGCTCGCTCTGATACCATATGTAATAGCCAAAGTTCACCGCTAGCAGATATTGTCTACTTTGGTTTTTTACATACCGTTGTCAGCCTCACAATTTTTAAAACGCGTATACTAATGAGAGGTTTCCACACTTTTATAAGAAATGTATCGTTTCTCTCACCAATCGATGTGGGATCTCACGTAAACGCACCGAAAATTTTAAAATCTAAGTCAGGATATTAAAATTATAATTTAACCTTATTTTATTTTCTACATTATTATTCATCCACGAATTTAACAAAAAAAAAATTATATTGGTATTTAACACGACTTAATTAACATAATTTTAAACATTTATCAAACACAAGAATAAATTAATCAAATTTTTTTAAAAAAAAAAAAAATTGCCCCTTCATTTCCGAGTATACACAGATTGAGTTGAGTTGGTTTGTTTTGTTTTCGAGTATACATAAATTAATCAAAGGTTGGATTGTAGCTTTATTTTCGAGTGGATCGATTTGACCCGACAAAAAAAGAAAAAAAATGTCAATGTAACGTCCCAGATCCACCACTAGCCGATATTGTCCTCTTTGGGCTTTCCCTTTCAAGCTTTCCCTGACCCCTCAAGACTTTAAAATGCGTCTATTAGGGGAAGGTTTACAGACCCTTATAAATGGTGGTTTGTTCTCCTCCCCAATCAATGTGGGACATCACAATCCACCCCCTTTGGGGCCAGCATTCTCGCTGACGCTCTTTCCTTCTTCCAATCGATGTGGGGCCGCTCCCAAATCCACCCCCTTTAGGGCCTAGCGTCCTTACTGGCACACCGCCTCATGTCTACTCCCCTTCGAGGAACAGCAAGAAGGCTGGCACATCATCCGGTGTCTAGCTCTGATACCATTTGTAATGTCTCAGATCCACCGCGAGCAGATATTGGCCTCTTTGGGCTTTCTCTTTCAAGCTCCCCCTCAAGGTTTTAAAACGCGTCTACAGAAGGTTTCTACACCCTTGTAAAGGGTGGTTTGTGATAAGGCAACCATAATCCTCAGCCAAACGATCCAAACTTTTATTTTAGCAAGAACCTTTGGATCAAAGTAATTAACACCTCCTTATACGAAATTTGGATCAACCAAGAGATAAGGCTAGAATTAGATTACCTCTTACGATCGAAAATCTAGAAACAAGATTTGGAACCTTGTTCTAAATTGAGTCACTCTACCATCTAACTTGATCAAGGCTTGATTGAATGGCTCGGGTGCAATTCTACCACAAAAATTGCTTGAAACTTAGAAATGGCAAATATGATGCTCGGATTTCTAAGGGAAACGTCTCAATTTGAGATCTAAATTACATTCATCCACGAATCTCAATTTTACATAACATATTGTGGGTATTTATAGTCTCCAGATTTATTCGAGACGTTTGTGGACGGGATTTATTCCTGATCCCCTTTAATAGAATAAGTAAATTGACCATTTGACTTTTACATAATTTATGAAATTAAACATGGTTTTTTCTAATAAATATTGATGTGCTTGAGTGGCTAATGTAATAGGTTTGAAATCAATTGAGTTCTACGTAGGTTCAAATTCTGTTGTTGACATATTTTTTGAATCTTCATGACATTTTTTGAATCTTAACAATTCTTATCCGTTTGTTCTCCTCTCCAACTAATGTGGGACTTTTTGAGATGATTTTTGTCAGTTTGTTCTGCTCTCCAACCGGGACATCACAGTCAACCCATGAATTAATTCAAGTTCTCAGATCACACGAACACCCCTACCTGTATCAAACATTTATTTATTTAGCCAAACCAATATGGGACATCACAGTCAACCCATGAACTAATTCAAGTTCTCAGATCACACGAACACCCCTACCCGTAGCGGGCATGGACTAAAGACTTTTTTTAAGGTAAAGTTGATAGAGTAGGAGAAAATGTTTAAATAGATTAAAAAAGAAGCAAAAATAATGTCTTTATTCTATTTTGATGCTAAAGCTATTATACTTATTACCATTTTACTTCATAAACTTAAGTAAGGAATCTATTTAAGTCCTTCTATTTCCGAATATATTTTTAAAAGGTCTCTCCATGTGATGTCTCACGTCGGTGGTTAGGAAGGAGAACAAACCACCATTTATAAGGGTGTGAAAACCTTCCCCTAGCAGACGCGTTTTAAAGCCCTGAGGGGAAGCCCGAAAGAAAAAGCTCAAAGAGGACAATATCTGCTAGCGGTAGATCTGGGTCGTTACAAATAGTATCAGAGCCAGACACTGGACGATGTGTCAGCCTTCTCGCTGTTCCCCGAAGGGGGTAGACACGAGGCAGTGTGCCAGTAAGGACGCTGAGCCCCAAAGGGGGGGTGGATTTGGGGGCGGTCCCACATCGATTGGAGAAAGGAAAGAGTGCCAGCGAGGACGCTAGGCCCCGAAAGGGGGTGGATTGTGATGTCCCACATTGGTTGGGGAGGAGAACAAACTACCATGTATAAGGGTGTGGAAACCTTACCCTAGCAGACGGTGGATTGTGATGTCCCACATTGGTTGGGGAGGAGAACAAACCACCATGTATAAGGGTGTGGAAACCTTCCCCTAGCAGACAAGTTTTAAAGCCTTGAGGGGAAGCCCGGGAAAGCCCAAAGGGAAGTTTAGGGCATGACTTTGATACCATGTTAGTAGAACATGACTCTCCACAATAGTGATATTGTCCATTTTGAGTGTAAACTCTCATGGTTTTGCTTTAGCCTTCCTCAGAAGGCCTCTGTAACGAAACCGAGAGAAAAAATAATGATGGTCGTCGGTAGAGCCGAAAACTCCGGCGACGTTGGAGTTTTCACTCGCACACGACCCACAAAGGGCGACCGAGGGCTGGGATGCCACAAATCGTGTCCCCGACCTTCAGCCACCCTGAAAGAACCTACAAAGAAACGAAAACGGTGAGGAAAAAGGAGAGAGAACAGAAAACCGACGGAACTCCGGCGAAGCCGAACCGTACGAATCGACGTCGAAAACCCCCATTTCACACCATAAAAGTAATCCCAGAACCCTTTACACACATCAGGAGTAGGTTTTAGACGAATCCCGTACGCTGAACACCGTCAGCAAGGAAGACGAAACGGCGGACTTCCGAGCTTCTCCAGATCCGGGAGTGCGAGGCCCTTCCCAACAAAATCTGTACCAAAAACGGGGTTAGGGTGAAGGATAAGTTCGGGACGACGTTGTCGAGGAGAGAGAGAGATTGCCAGAAAATCGCGCAGGCAGTCGGGCGAAGAGGACGAAGTCCGACCCAAGATCCGGATCCAGAAACCTGAACCGAACCCCGTCCCTTCAGTCAGCCTAGAACCCACGTTACCCGCAGCCCAAACACCCGACCTTCACCCGCGAGCCGGCCCATCACCGCGCAGCCTATCACCCGCGTTTGGCTCGAGACCCGCGAGCGACCCGTTAACCCGCGCCTCGACCCGAGACGCCTGCACACGCGTCGCTCTCTGATTGTGCCACGTGTCACGTTTGCAGCACGGCTCCTCTCGGCTCAAGCGGCTTCATCGGCTCAGCGGCGGCTCCTCGGCTCCGGTGGCTTATTCGGCTCAGGAAACCCATTTCCAGCCCGTTTGACACAGTTTCGACCCTCCCGGACCTGGTTTCGGCCCTGTTTAAGGTAAAAGGGAACATTTTAAGGTCGCATTTCACAAATTCCAGTTGGGAATTTATTGTTATTTGTGGAATACTGACAGAAGTGACTCATGAACCAATAGGAACCAACCACCAACGGAAGCGTAGAACGCCCACGAGGAGCTAGGAGCTTACGTTATATTCTAGGGAGTACTTCGGCTAAGGCCTACCAAGTAAGTGACTCACCCGTTGTAGGTTACGCATTAATTGATGTATGTTGGCATGTGCCCGTAGTTATGCACGTGCCATTAAATTGTATGCTAGCTTAATGTGCTTAAGTACGAAATCATGTGAACGTGAATGTATGTTATTTATGCTGCTTAGTGGATGTGATATGAATGCATGTGATGATGTGTGACCCGTGTACGATTATGGCTTGTTGTATGAGTATGGGAATGTAATTGAATGAATTGTATGACATGAAATACGGTAAATTGCATGATACATAACCCCGCTAGGAATATGTATGATATGTAACGAAATGAGAATGAGAATAACATGTAAGCATGAAACGTGACATGGGGTTATGCTCATTAAATGATGACTGTAGGACTAGTGGGACCTCATGCATATTGTGTTCATGCATTTGGGGGAATACCCCTATCCCATCACGAGGGTACGGACGCGTACATCCAAATGACAGACAACGATCGTTATGCCCTGCATAGCGCTGTCGTGACGTTTTAGTTTTAATGGGTCCCGGTGGGCCCCCAGAGCATGCCCACCGGCTAGGGACAATGGCCCAGCGATGTGCGAACTAGCTGGTGAGCCCATACTCGCACGTATGGGCTGCGTGTAGAGTATATGGTACACGTCCACGATTACCTGTTAGGATTACACCGTAGGGAAAACGAAATGAAACGAAACGAAACAGAATGATAGGACCCATCATTTCATTGCATGTGTTTGTCGCATAACCCCGATAGGGGGTCACTTACTGAGTATTCTAGAAATACTCAAGCCTTGTACTACTTTACTTTTGCAGATAAGGGCAAGGCACCCATGTGACAACGACGACGGCATTGAACACCTCAGGATCGTGGCACATGCATAGGGTAGTTGGTTGTTTTTTTTTTTCCATTTCTAGTATAAGTTAGAATAGGATGAAATGTATTTGCATAATAAACCTTAGGGTAGAATAAACTATTATTCTTGGTTCTATTGTTTTTCCTTTCTTTCAATAATGTTTCCCTTTTTCCCTTGTAATCTTTTTTTTGAGGTAATAAAAAGGCGAGTGCGAATAGCATTTATGAATAGGGTCCATTAAATGTATATTCCGCATTTCAAATATAGTAATGACCTTAGATTAAATAGGTAAAATATTAGGGTCGTTACAACGTCATACCAATGAAGATAGTATTATTTGATTATAGACAGGACCCCTATCCTTCAGATCTTCAAAGGCCATTTGACATTTATTTGACCACGACCAAGGGTGGTCTTTCTTCAGGAGGGAGCTCTGTTAAGGAGGCGGCTCGTTGTGAAAACCCTTTTGAGGGTAAACTCTCATGGTTTTGCTTTAGGTTTCTCAGAACCAATGGAGATAGTATTCTTTGATTATAGACAGGACCCCTCGTCATGGTTGCCTTCAGATCTTCAAAGGCCATTTGACATTTATTTGACCACGACCAAAGGTGGTCTTTGGAGCTCTGTTAAGGGGGCGGCTCGTCGTGAAAACCCTTCAACGAACCGCCTATAGTAGTTTACTAATCCTAAGAAGGACCGCACATCGGATACGGAAGTAGGGACTTTCTACTCTTGGATAGCTTTTATCTTATCGCTATTCATCCCGATCTATCTACAACTTATGACATGTCCAAGGAAGTTTATACATATTTGTGCGAAGACACATTTTTTCTTTCTTGACGTACAACTGATTCTGCCGCAGCTTGTCAAATACCAACGTCAAGTGCAAGTATCGAGGATCATTCCCTAAATGGATGGGAGTTTCATCCAACAGTGTTAGTAACTTCTATTTTTAATTAAGAATTAAATAGATTTAAATTTTAAAATTAAAATTTGTGCTTTTTTATTTTTTATTTTATTTACAAAAACATAATCTCTTTGTTTTATTATCCCAACCCTTTGGTTTGTGAGGTTATTATTTCTTTATTTCAAAAAAAAAAAAAAAGTTATCGTTTCCCTCTCCGGTGGACCTAGCTACCCCCAGACCCGATCTCCTTATCTGTGACGGCGGCGTGACGTACCAGATCAGCAACACTGCGGCTTGGCGTCACCACCCACGGCGGACAGTGGCGGCTGTGCGGGAGGACTGAATACAAAGTTATACGTAAGTTGGCTACCAAGGGAGAAAGAAGAGAGTAGTATTTGTATCTGTTGAGATTATTTTGGTTGGGATGCTGCGTTTGTTTGTGTTTGTTCAAATGAGTAAATTGGCGAGGGATATGGAAATTAGAAAGCAGAATAGTATGAATCTGTGTAGAAATCCATGAAATATATGTTATAATGCAGGTTTTGATTGCAAATGGCAACGAAAAGGAAATCGAATGTCACGATTCAAGTGGAAACCCTGATTTGAGTTAAAATATGAAGTTCTTTAGCATTTCTGGCCAAGTTAATTGCCTAAAGTTTGTTCATGTTTGATGTTTAGCCGATTTCCTCTTTACAACTGAAATTTCCTTAAGATTCTAGTCTTTTTTCAAGGATTTGTTACTTTTAATTAGTAAATCTGTGATCATCCTTCAGATATAAACGCTAGGAATTGATCATCAAAACACTTGGAAGTAAAATTTAGATTATATTAGAACTGAACCAATGAGGCAATCAAGAATTTATCCCCTTAAGCCCGTTTTTGACATATTATAAGTATGAATTTCAAGAGTTCTTCTTGTTTTTTTTCATTAATTTTTCCTTTGTGATTCTTGCTCAGGTGTGGATCTACTTCAATTCTTGAAGCAATTCATTCTTCTGTTCTTTCATTTTCATCTGTTGTTAAGAAGATCAACTACTCTCTGGATGAATCTCAACATTGAAAGCATTGGAGAGATGTAATTTCGACTTTACTTCACAAAGAATCAAATATGAATCCCTGAAATCCGCCCTGTCTATAATCTCTGATTCCATTTCGATTACAACCCGTAGATATTAAGAACATACTCGGGTGTTAGAACTGTTTCTATAGCTTTAAAATAGGGAATGAGATTGCCACAAACTCTGAAGATATGGAAAATGGGGATTGTCAGCTACAGAGAAGCCCTCCATTTGCAAGAAAAACTTGTGTCTGCTAGAAAAGCTAGTGAAATCCCAGACACCCTCTTATCCCTGCAACATCCACCCACATACACACTTGGAAAAAGGCGCACGGATCACAATCTGTTAATCCCCGAGTCGGATCTAGAGAAGCTAGGAGCTGAACTTCACTACACTGAGAGAGGGGGAGACATTACATTTCATGGTCCAAATCAGGCCATTTTGTACCCAATAATTTCCCTTAGAGATATTGGAATTGGGGCTAGAAAGTATGTGGAGAAACTGGAACAGACCATGATTGAGATGGCTGGTCTGTATGGAGTGAGAGCTAGAGCTGGGGAGAAGGGGGAAACGGGAGTTTGGGTTGGAAATAGGAAGATTGGAGCCATTGGGGTTAGGATTTCAAGTGGGATTACTTCTCATGGTCTTGCTTTCAATGTGGATCCTGATCTGAGTTATTTTAAGCATATTGTGCCTTGTGGGATTGCTGATAAAGATGTGACATCTTTGAGAAGGGAGACTGGGGAAGTTCTTCCCAGTGACGAGGTTGTGGAAGAACAGTTAATTTCTTGTTTTGTTAAGTTATTTGGTTATAGTAGATCAGTGGAGGAGAATTCTTGTATGTAACTTCAATTTTTTTGTTTAGAAATACTTCAAATTGGTTCATAACCATAGCTTTCTTAATGTCATATTAGATTTTGGATGATTGTATTCCATTTGTCGTAAGGTCGAGGTTGAGTCTTCTATGATGTGACTATCTTTTAATAATCGTTGGATGTAGATTTGAAAATCTACCTGCCCCTCATAGTCACGGGATACAAATTCGATGTACTTTAGCAGTTTCTCTCTTATACTTCGACGGTTAGAAATGGTTGATTACATTGTGGTAGTCTCTCCAAATAATTTCACTTGGGTTGAGTTAGACGAGATGGATAAAGTTTATATGAAAGTCGAAAGCTCAGCGATGTTGAAAGGAGATATACTGTCTGGTCGTTCACTGTTCCAAAACTTGGAGACAATATTTGTTGGGATCCCACTTCATAGTAAAGACTCACAACAACACTATTTGCCATTAATTTCACTTACCTAAACTTATTTCCAAACAAGCACCATGGCAAGAGTCACGGGCTGAATTTGACTTCAAATTTGAATGTAGAGCTGGAAAAAGTAATGAAATGGCTGACGTACTGAGTAGGAAGGGTGAACATGTGATCCTTTGCATGTTAGCCCACATTTATTTAAGTAAGATCGATAGGTCGATGCGCGATATCATCAGGGAACATCTACATTAAAAACCTTTCGGCCAAAGCTGTTGATCTAGCTATAATCGGCTAGACAATTTTGCGTTGAACGAAAGAATAGTTGAGAATAAATTTAATGTATATTTCAAATTTGAAACATAATTTAATGTATGTTGTTTGTGTTGAAGTTGGAAGCAAAATAAATTGATATCGAGATAATAAAGTCACTATCATAGTTATATCTCTTGTATTATTGTCTAGGTGACTCATTCAAACCATAAAGTAATGTCTTTAATATGCTCATATGGTCCTTTAAAGTAGGTGAAATATTTCTAGTGGTCTTTAACGCGATTGTTATTGAGACCTCTATGATATCGATATAGATGTTTTTCAAGATCAGTTTGATCGAGAGTTCTATATGCTTTCTAATAACCATTAGATATAAATTCATAGTCGTTTTGCAGTTTCTCTCAAAACTGTCAGTCACATTGTGACAATCTCACTGAATAATTTCTCTTGAGTTGAATGAGCATCGTTCTTTTATCGACCGAGAAAGATTTTAAGTTAAAAGAATGATTCAGACATATATGGTTCATTTTGAGTTCGATAACTTAATCCAGTTAAGATAATGAAGCAAGTAATTTGTCAAAGATGAACGGTTTGAAAGAGTCAATAAAACGAAAAATTCTCGTCTAATTTCAAAGCTAAGTCAAAATAAAACTTTTAAAAAAATACGAGCCTAACTGAAAAGTCAATATAAAGATTATCAAAAAGTCAAATTATTTAATGTCAAAGTCAACGCGCCTAATTTTTGAACTTGAAAAGTAAAAAACAAAATTTTGGAAAAATGAAATCAAATTTCAACCACCACAGTTATATCTTAATATAAATATATAATAATATGGTCTGGCGGAAGACACGTGTTACAATAATGTATGAAATTTCTCTTTTGATTAAATAAATTATAAAAATTAGATTATGGTTCGTATTTGTTTGAATTTCTTCCACGTTTTAAATATGTTTACACTTTTTTTATTTTAATAAAATTGAAGTAATATAGACAAATAATAATTAATAACTTTAAAATTTTAAAATTAAAATGAAAAATCGAAAAATCATTAAATTATATTTCACGAAATTAATAAAAATACTATTAAAATTTCTATTTTTAAACTTTTAAAATTTTAAATAATATCCTTAAATTTTTTTAAAAAAATCATTAAAATTTAAACTCTTGAGAATTGAAATATATTAATAAAAAAAAATTAAATAGGAGTACAAACTTTATTAAAAAAAAGTTGAAATATATTAATAAATTTTTTTAAATTTCGAAGATATTGAAATACTTTTGAAAGCTCGAACATTATCGAGAAAAATTTATGAGTATTTTTATTAATTTAGTAGTTATTTTAAATAAGTTTAAGACAAATGGATATGAGTATAATATTGATAATAATAAATAAATAAATTACGAATTTAATTTCGTAATTATAAAGTTTGTATTAAAAAAAAATCCTAACCTTTCGATTTTTATTTAATAAATCCTTATATTTTTTAAATTTGGAAATCTAAGCCAAATTAAAATTTTAAATTAGAGGAATATATTAAAAATTTATTAGACAGAGAATTAAAATTACAATATTTTAATATTAAGTTTGAAAATTATTATTTATAAATAAATAAATAAATAGGAAAAAAAAAGACCGAGTCAAACTTGGATTTTTCTGGGAAATTTGTAAGAAAAAAAAATAATTTAAAAAATGAATTTCTGGAGCAAAGGAAGACTTGCAGTCCATGATTCTGTAAACGTTGAAGTTCTTGTTTCTTCATCTTCTTCTTCTTCTTCGTTTGCTCTCTCAGAATCGAAGCAGCCAAAAATGGTTCCAGTAAGCGTTTTTCTTCTTCTGTTGCTGAGTTTCGTCGTCGTCGTGTGTGCTCAAAGCAATGGAACTCGAATTTCCACTGGTAGCTCTCTTGTCGCCGGTAGTTTTTCTGTTCAGGCATGGCGTTCTCCTTCTGATGATTTCGCTTTTGGTTTCCGGAACGTTGATAATAATAACGATGATCTTTTTTTGCTTGCTATCTGGTTTTACAAAGTACCGGAAAACAATATCGTTTGGTTCGCCAAAGAAAAAGACAACAATCCTGTTTTCGCACCAAGAGGATCGAAGGTTGAGCTTACGGCTACAAGCGGATTGGTTCTTCGAAACGGAAACGGTGGAGAAATCTGGAAATCGGAACCTATTACGGCTTCTGTTGCGTTTGGTAGTATGAAGGATACTGGTAATTTCGTGCTTGTGGATTCAATCAATGGATCCATTTGGGAGAGTTTCTCATATCCAACGGACACGTTGCTTCCTACGCAGAAATTGGAGGTTGATGGCGTTCTATCCTCCCGTAAATCTCAAGGTAATTTCTCACTTGGAAAGTTTCAGTTCCGTTTGCTTAGAGATGGAAATGCTGTTTTGAACACCATAAATTTGCGCTCTGGCTTTCCATATGATGCATATTATATTAGCAACACTCATGATTCTGCTAGTTCACAAAATTCTGGCCGCCAAGTGATTTTTGATGAACAAGGATTTTTGTATGTGCTGAAAAGAAATGGAGAACAATCTAACATTACACAGCCTAGTGTTGGTAACCCTGTAGAGGCTTATTATTACAAAACCACCATGAATTTTGATGGAGTTTTGAGTGTAAGTTCTTATCCAAAGGGCATAGATGGAGATGCCAATGGAAGCTGGAAAGATTTGTTTAGAATACCCTTACCCATTTAGCTCCATGGTTTAGTGTGAGACTCCACGTCGGGGAGGAGAACGAAACATTCTTTATAAGGGTGTGGAAACATCTCCTAACACATGCGTTATAAAAACTTTGAGTGGAAGCACGAAAGGGAAAGCTCAAAGAAGACAATATCTGCCGGCGGTGGATTTGTACCGTTATAAATAGCGTCAAAGTAAGTCTCTAACCACTGAAAATGGCCATCATCATTCAACTAAATCATGTATGGGAAGAAATTGGAATCACAAACATTCTTCAACTTCTAATCAAGTTCATTCAATGTATCTAGTGTTTTTTTATACTTTATAAAGTTAATTCAATCACATATCCATTCATCTTGTTACGATTGTATTTATCTTGTTATGGTTGTAATTATATGGTCCAAAGAAAGTAAAGATTGGCTCGAGTCACCCAATTCGGTAGTGGATCATTTGATTTAAAGTTTTGTTAAGATTTGTGAAAATAAGATGTTTCAAAATAGGATATTTGAAAATGAAATAGCGAGGAATCGAAGATGACTCGAATGCTATTAGAATTTGATATTAATAAAGAATGTTTTTGTTTGGTGGTCGCCGTGACTTTCAACCATTTTATTATATTAGTTAGTTTTAGATAATTAATTGTTGTTAGTTAATTTATTTTTATAAAATTAAATTATTAAAAAAAAAATTAACCAATTAAATTTTAATTTAATTTTCATTCCTTAATAAATATATTTTGAATAATATGCTTTATATATTAAGTTTTTGAGTTTATTTAGGATAGTTACCTTCAAATAAATAAATTTAATAAAATTATATTTAAAGTTTTAATGCTAAATAAGTAGTAGAAGGATCCAATTGAAAAATTAATCGTATATGTTTTATTTTAAAAATTAAGTATCATCAACTAAATATAAGCAAATTTGGCATTTATATTATATCAATATTTTTCTCAAAATTTCATGTTCGTAGTAAAACATAAATTCATGGATAATTTTGAAATTAGATATTAACGATTTCATTTAACCATTCATATTGTTAACCGAAAATAATTTTTAACTTTTTTTTTAATTTTTTTAAAAAAATTAAGGATATTAATGAATTTTTATAAAGTTTCAAGAGACAGATGAGAGAAGCAAAAGTTCATGGTGAAAGAAGGGAGAGAAGCAGAGGTTCAAGAGTGAAAGAAGGGAAGGGAATAGAAGAGGTTCAAGAGTGAAAGAAGGGAAGGGAATAGAAGCGGCCACTTCGCAGAACTTGTGAAAAGCCTGTCGGGAGCTTCACGAAATTCCACGAAGCACTTCATCTATGGGCATAGAATAGAATACAACTCTAATCATTCTTCTTCTCGAATCGCTCCAGTACAATGAATCGAGGGAGTTCGCTTCGCCGCAAACAATACTATTCTTTTGGGCGAAGTCTAACCGATTATCGGTCGTGGCTAATTGAACAGGTTCACGAGCATTTTTTAAATAAAATACACACGATTTTCATTCAAAATTAACCGTAAATTTATTTTTAAATTTTTTGAGAGCCTAAAAACATTAAAGCATTTAAAAATTGAAAGAGATGATAACATTATTTAAGCAAAATTTGCAGCTGCCATGGTCTCCATCATCTTAAACAAATCAAAGGGTTTTAATATTTTGGTACCTAAACTTGTTGGAAACCTTAAAAATTATAGATTTTTTTGGTCAGTTTTTTAATTTTAAAATTGAAAAAAAAATTATAATAATAAAAAAAAAAAAAAAAAAAAAAAAAAAAAATCAGAATTTCACTAGACCTGACTAAGTGCACAATATTCAACGGTTTGACACGGAATGAGTCAAGCTTCAAAGTCAAGCTCTGTTTCCATTGCTCAAAACTCCAAGCTTTTGATCTGTTTCCATTGATCATCTCTCTTTATCTTTCTTCACCTTGTAAGCTTCTTTCATGGCTTCTCTGATTCCCCACCTTCTTTTTCTTTTCCTAATGCCTTTCCTTGTGAATGCTCAAAGTAATAGCATAATAAACACTGGTAGCTTTCTCATTGCTGGTGATGTTTCTACTTCTCCATGGCTTTCTCCTTCGAAGGATTTCGCGTTCGGTTTTCGAGAACTCGAAAACGGTCTCTTTCTGTTGTGTATTTGGTACAACAAATTACCTGAAAAGACTGTAGTTTGGTTTGCCAGACATGACCAAAATCCAGCCCTAAGAGGCTCAAAGGTTGAGCTAACTGCTTTAGATGGCTTATTGCTTCGCAATTCCCGAGGTGGAACTTCGAAACTGATCGGCCTTGTTTCGGGGACGGTTGCCTCTGCTGTGATGAATGATACAGGGAATTTGATGCTTAAAGATTCAGACTCCATGCTGTTATGGGAGAGCTTTAAACACCCAACAGACACCTTGCTTCCTACACAAAAGATGGAGATAAATGACATACTTTCTTCATACAAATCATATCAGAATTACTCATTGGGAAAGTTTCGGTTTCAATTGTGGAAAGGCAGTGCAGTGCTCAATATCAGAAACTTGCCCACTGGCAATATGTACGTATCGTACGATACGATACGAGCCACTAATGGATACGAAATTGTTTTTGACAAGGATGGTGTCTTGTATATAATGCAAAGAGATGGAAACAGGGTTAATATCAGTGAACCAGAAGGAGATTACCCAGCTGATATTCATTACTACAAAGTGACACTCAATTTTGATGGTGTTCTTACTGTGAGTCACTATCCAAAGAATCCCACCACCAGTTCAAATGCAGCCTGGAGGGACTTCAAGAAGATGCCTGATAATATATGCATGGCTATGAGGGGAGAGTTGAGCTCTGGAATCTGTGGATATAATAGTATATGCACATTAAATGATGATCAAAGGCCAAGATGCAAGTGCCCAACTGGTTATTCTTTTATGGACCTGAATGATACCTACAGCAACTGTGTCGCAAATATCCCACAAATATGTGAAGAAGGTGCACAAAATTCTACTGATGATCTATATAGTTTACAAGAACTTCCCAATACTGATTGGCCAATGCTTGATTATGAGAGGTACAATCCTTTTAATGCTGAAGAGTGCAAGAAAGCTTGCTTGCTTGACTGCCTCTGTGTGGTGGCTGTGTATAGAGACAATACCTGTTGGAAGAAGAAGCTACCACTATCAAATGGGAGGGAAGATAGCAAGGAAATATCTGTTTCTTTTCTAAAATTAAGAAGAAATACTAGTTCCACTGGGAAACCCCAAGATGGGTTTCCAATACCTGAAGGAAAGAAGAATCAGCAAACATTAATTGTTGTGATTTCTGTGCTGCTAGGTTGCTCTCTGTTTGTCATTCTCATCCTGGCTAGTATGATATGTTGGGGTTTCATCTCCTGCAATAAAAAGAAGCTTGCAGCAGGTGATATTCAACCAAGTGAAAGCTTTGAAAGTAACAATCTATGTCAGTTTACATATAAAGAACTTAGAGAAGCTACAAATGGATTCAAGGAAGAACTAGGAAGAGGATCTTGTGGCATTGTTTACAAAGGGAGGATTAAAACTGGTGTTGTTGCTGTGAAGCAATTGGACAGAGTGTTTGAAGATAGTGAGAAAGAATTCAGGACAGAAGTGAATGTGATTGGGCAAACACACCACAAGAATCTCGTTCGACTACTCGGATATTGCAACGAGGGGAGATACCGCATTCTAGTTTATGAATTCATGAGCAATGGGACTCTAGCAGACCTCCTTTTTGGTGATAGGAAGCCAAGTTGGAACCTCAGAACCCAAATAGCCTATGGAATTGCCAGAGGACTAATGTACCTGCACGAGGAATGCGACAAGCAAATCATCCATTGTGATATAAAGCCTCAAAATGTACTTCTTGATGAACACTACAATGCCAAGATTGCTGATTTTGGGCTGGCAAAGCTATTGAAAATGGATCAAAGCAGAACAGAAACAGGGATTAGAGGGACTAAAGGGTATGTTGCTCCAGATTGGTTCAGGTCAGCTCAAGTGACAGCCAAGGTTGATGTGTATAGTTTTGGTGTGCAACTGCTGGAAATCATATGTTGCAGAAGGAACGGAGATATGAATGATTTTGAAGGAGGACAAGAACTATTAGTTGATTGGGCCTATGACTGTTTCCAACAAGGAAGATTAGATGTTCTAGTTGAGGAAGATTTGGAAGCCATGGACGACATGAGGAGGTTGGAAACGTTTGTGATGGTTGCAATCTGGTGCCTACAAGAGGATCCATCACAAAGACCAACAATGAAAAGGGTAACGTGGATGCTTGAAGGCATAGCTCCTGTTTCTGTTCCTCCAAATCCCAACCCATTTACCTCCAATTGCTAAGTTTCTTCTATCCAATTTGAGCAATTTTCATAGGAAGGGGTGGGCTTGATATATCCTACTTTGAGATAGAAATAAAATGAATGATCCAATTCTCAAAAATAGAAAGACCAACGGTGAAAGTAGAGAGATCAAGTAGTAGTCAAACCATAAATAAACAAGTCATAATTCTCAAAGAACAGATTCAGAGAAGTAAGTCATCACTAGAATGCTTTTTATGCAGATCCTTGAATGTTTTCAATGATTTCTGTTCTAAACAATAAAAATCAGCAATTTGCGAACAAATCCTAGGCATGTCTGAATACAAATAAACCGAAAGGATCAATTGAATCTTGTCTGCCAAGACTATATGTATGGACATTACAGAACATTTCTCTCAGTAATGCAAGTACAAAAAAGCATGTATATGAACGTAGAAGTGGAAATGAGAACTGTCTAAATTTCAGGTCATATCATAGAGAAAAATAATTACTGAACATTATTGTTGTTTGAGATTACAACACTGACTTGACAACATTATATACACAGCAAATATCCTATCAGTAAATTATTTCCCCCCTTTTCGTGTAACGTAAAGCAAGCTATCAACTCATGAGGAACAAGAAAGCATACAAACGCCCGGCCGATAAGCCCAAGCTGGGGGCAACCGTGCATATTTTTCCATTCCTGGTTGCTCATCAAATGGCCGTTCCATTATCTTCAGCAGCCGACGAACCTCTCCAAAATCACCCTGCTCAGCTGCATCAATGGCAGTCTGGCATAGGTAGTTCCTGAGAATATATTTTGGATTTATTGCATCCATGGAGGCCTTGCGCTCCTCATCTGATATGCCACTAGCAGCAAGCTGCAAAAGCAATAGAATAATGGATAAGATAAAGGAAAATGTAATATCATTATATTTAAAGCACGCCAGCGTTCCTTAAATGTAGTGTCTTATGAAAATTCAGCTACTAACTGAAAACACATCTAGTAGCACTATAGAGTTTTCTGAAACTTGAACCAAGTCCAATATCTGGGCATGATTTCTGCCCAACGCAAACAGGACCGTGAGATGAGCATTAAGTTGTTTGGTTAGAGCCTGGAGGTTTTATGATTGGATGCCAGACACTGCCTCAAATTAGATAAAGAGGATGAGTTTAGCAAATGATAATCATATCAGTTTAATAATTTTCATTCTCCCCATCCAAATTGAAAACTGGAAAAGAATGTATAAGCCTAAACAGGTGGCTTTCCTCGATGCTTGTGGGGACCCCAGATTGTTATAGAGATATAATATTTAACTCAATATACTGAAAACAGAATGAAGGGAAAAAATGAAATTATGAATTGGTAGGTCTATTTTACTTTCTTTTTTTTTTTTTTTTGTAATAACCACGATACCCGATGGCACCCGTGTCACACCAAGGCCCCACCAGGAGATACGAAGTAACAAGATTTTAAAAATGCAAAGGAACAACAATAAAACAGATCAGAACCAACGGAGAAACAGAGATAGGTCAAGGTTTTAATTTATGACTGCTACTTTTTAACCATCAGGTATTTAAGGTCACTATACCTCCGCTATGTAGATCTTTACCCAGCTGACCCAAGCTTCCTTTCGCTCCTTGCCCATATCTAACAGAACAGCCTTCAGAGGGACCAACAACTCCTCCTCTGGGGTGCTGGGATCAGCTTTGATATTGGAAAGTGATCTAAAGAAATTTGTATAATCAACTTTGTCAACAGCCATGTTGTTGAGAAGCTTGCTGATTAACTGTTTATTGTACTTTGGTAGACCAATTTTCTTGGTCATGATTGTTTGATAGTCATCCATAAATTTGTCTCCGTATCTGTAAGAGAAGAGGGGAAACGTCATATTATGAGTGCAATGATAGGTCAACAGTTCTAGAAGAAAACATAAGTTCGATAAGGTAAAACTACCTCTCCATGGCATAGTTTGCTTCTTTATCATTTATTAATTCAGCAGCGGAAAGTGTTGAAGCAAACTGGGCTATATTCCATAAGCCTACATCTGGCTGATTTGCAAAACAGTATCTTCTGCCCGGAAGATCAGTTGTATTAGGCGTATAACTAGGATCAAAAGCATCCAAAAATCCGAAGGGACCATAATCAATGGTAAGACCCAAGATGCTCATATTGTCAGTGTTGAGTACACCATGTGTGAACCCAACTCCCTGCCAACTTGCTATTAAGGAAGCAGTTCGCTCAGCAACTTCTACAGCCCAAGCTGATAATATCAACCATGTAAAGGAAATAAAAAACAAAAGAGTCATTAAGATAAAATGTGAAATCCTTTTTGTGCAGAAACAGCAAGTTGAATGCAACTAAAAGGAGAACTACATCAACCATGCCATAAAATGGAGAATTTTTTCATACACTTCTGTCCCTTCTCTCCATAAAAGCTCAGTTTCTTACCCAAAAAATTTATAAATGAATAAAAATAAACAAAAATAAATAAATAAAAAGATCGCATGCGCTGGCCTCTACAAAACTTCACAGACAAGAAAAGAAGTAAGCTGTTAAACTGGATTCATCACATAGGCCATGCTGTCCTTGGGTTGCTAATAAATTCCAGGTTGCTGCCAAATACCGTAAAGGAATAAAATTTTAACACGAATCCAGACCAAGGTCTTGAGAGAGAAGAATGACTGAAACCGTCGCTTAATAATAGGCATGAAATGTTCCTTTATGTACTTCCATGGCCACTTTGCAGAAGATGGTGGGGGTGGATTTTTACATGATGTAGGAATATATTTAGAAGGCATTTTCTTTGTGATGATATCTCCATAAGGAGAGCTTTGTGCTTCTTTATCGAGAAAAGACAGTCCTCCCTTTTCTGCAGGGAGGTTTATAATACTCTATGGAACAAGGTGTAGGTCATCTTTCCACGTATAGTTCCTGAACAATTTTTCTATATCCGAAGCCACTTTTTGTGGCATTTTGAACAGCATTAGTCTTTTTTCATTTTGTCAACGAAAAGTTTGTTTCTTGTTAGAAAAAATATCATTAATCGACTTATCATTCTATGTACGTTTTTTTTTTTGTGAAGTATTTTTTTACATTAATTTAAAAGATTTATCTATAAAAAAAGTATTAATATATCAACAAATACACACATATTCTATTAAAAAGAAGAAAAAAAATGTGTCCTGATGTGTCTGTGTGCTACTTTTTTAGAAATTGACAAGTCACCGTATCTATGTTCTACATTTTAAAAATTAACATGTCACCAAATCTATGTCATATCAAATTGTTAACAGAAAAGAATACCTGCATACTTGTTTGAAGTGAGATCAACAACTGAACTATCTTCATCGCCCGTGCTGAAAGATAAACTCTGACTGCTGCTCATATTCTCGAAGTGCGGAAAATGGTGGCGGATTGCGTAGTCTGCTAAAGCCCGAACAATTTTATAATCATCCTTCCCTCTAGAGGCATGAATTTGGAAGGATCCAAAACGCAAAAAGGATTGAGCCACTCGACATACGATTGCACCAGGCTCTTCTTTTTGATTCCCACTACAAATTGAAACAATCGGAACTTATTATTGCATTTCCATACCAGCATCAATTTATATCTCTTCACATTTTTTAGTTAATTAACATGTTCAAAACTACCAAAAGAGTACCTAAATATAAGTACTCAAGAAATCATGATTTCAACTAAAATAAAATAAAAATCCTAACATGTTCATATCAATGCCAATTGGAATTTATTTGTGTTAGAAAGGTTTTGCAGAAAAAAAGACATATTCAGAGATTATGAATTCTTGAATTTTTTAGAAAATCCTATTCAAATCCATGAGAAGATGTAAGATCATCTTATAACTACAAATGTTCTTAACTGCCATCTTGACCAGATTATTTTATCTACGTACTCATAAAACATGTCGCGGGTAACAAATGTTCCTGTGGTCAGAAGACAAAGTGCACGAGTTGTTGGTATTCCAAGACTATGCATTGCTTCACTACAAAGGAACTCCCTGATGCTACTTCGTAGCACAGCCAAGCCATCTGCAAACCGACTGTATGGCGTCTTCCCAGCACCTTTTAACTGCAACTCCCACCTTTCAGATCGGGGATTAAGTATCTCTCCAAGGGTTATTGCTCGACCATCACCCAACTGCCCAGCCCACATGCCAAACTGATGGCCCCCGTAACATTGAGCATAAGGTGACCTGTAATACACGATATCAGCAGGCAGGGGATAATGAAGATCAGAATGCTGGTGCTGTCAATCAAATAATATTTCACACTTACACTCCAACTAATGGAGATGCGCCAGAGAACAAGAGGGGGAAATCTGGCCTTTCAAATCTGCAGTGACAAAAGCAAAATCCTTCAGCTCTTGCGTAAGGGAGAGGACATCACAGACATATAATTGACTACAGCAGATTAAGACTGAAATACAAAGAGAAAAGTATCATTATAACACTCGTACAGTAACCAATCATAACGGTCCAGGTAATCTTCCAGCGACCTCAACAGCTCTTGAGAAGCATATTGTTCAAAAAGAGTTCATACAACTAAGGGGATGAGCTATCTCTAAGAAGCCATTGGATTACAAAAAGGAATTCCAATTGCAATTGATATGACGAAGCTAAAATTGCAAAAATCATTGGACAAAGAACACCAAGTAGAGGCAAGAACACAGACCAGGTCCCAAAATCCTCAAAGTTTTCACTCTTTCCTTTGAAGACTCTTCAATTTGTTTCATGCCACAACCTCCACACGGGAAGGAGTACAAAAGAAAATGATTAGGTTTGGTGTTGGGTCCTATCTATGTGCTTTGTTTAAGCATCAGGAGTTATACAAGACTTTTTTTATCACTTTTTATTTTTTTTCGAGTGTTTTTACGGCCCAAAATTTTGGAATTGATCTCTACAATTGTTTCGTTTAAATTGGGGTGCTCCATTGCCTGTTGAAAGAGAATGTTATGCAGTTATCGTGGATACTTTCTTCAAAGAAGTTAAGATCTTATGAATTAATGTTTATTCTAAAAATCCGAGCTTTCATGGAGATAAATGAAAAAAATAACAAGGACATATAAAAAACGAGCTTAATTACAAAAAGGTCAAATGATTGATGCCCACAAAGAAGCATTAAACCTCATCACCTCCCAAACTTCATCAAAGGTCCAAACTTCATCAAAGGACCCCTCAACTCCATGGAAAATCATATTATTTCTCTTGCGTCAATTACCACACCAAAGAAATTAGCATGCCACAAGACCTTTCCCTTCTCCAAAAAATGAACTCGTAAACACTCCTCAATCATAGTGTA